GGTATTTGGTGAGTAAAGGCGGAGGCTCCCCCTCAATCAATGAATCCTTTTTTTTTTTGTTTTTTTTTTTCTTTCTTTCTTTTGCACATTTTTTTTCTTTCTTTTACATATTTTTTTTTTCTTTTTCTTTTTCTTTTCCTTTTGCACAATCATTGGTGGCTGACACGCTCAAGAGTATGGAAACCGAACCAGAGAAGCATGGATATAATAATGATGGCCTGGTTGGTGACTCTGAGGTAGCCTTTTCCTCATGGCTAGACTGCAAAGAATTAAGGGGAAAGCCATGGAGATGTAAAAAGATGGAAGGTGGTTAAGAGACTCAACATCACCCAAGATATGCTAGCATAGGTCAATTCCTCTAGAAAAGCAAAAGAGACATTGCCAGAAGTCTAAAAAAATAATCACTAAGGCGGAAGACTCTAAAATTTGCTAATCCAAGAGTGTGTACAGAATGAGACATACTTATCAAAAACACTCACTCCAAAATGAGTAATGACCACAGAAAGCACACATATATTAACAGGTAATGGATATTCTCATCAAATCCAATATGCACCAAGGACCACTCAAAAAATTTCAAGCTTGCAAAACCATACTAAGAAAATCTTTTTGGGATTTTTTTTTGTTTAAATAAAGCAAGACAAAAAAAATGAACAAGCAAACATTTTTTTATTATTATTATTAAAAACAACACACAAAAACCCAAACGCTAAAACAAATAAACAAATTAACACAAGTCAAGTTTTCTCACCCAAACTGCTTTAGTACGAACAAAGTTGTGAGAATTGCAGTTCTTGGGTGGTGTCTTGACGTTGTGGTTCCTTTCCCCTGCAATAGGAACCCGTCTCGACATGGTTTCCAACTTCCTATACCTAGGTCTAGGCAAATACACTTTCCCATACAACTTATAACAATAAGGGCGAATATGACCATGCATACCACAATGATGACAAATAAAAACAGGGTGTACAGGGTGTACCTTCTTTTCTTTTGCCTTACCAACTCTAGGAAGTTTGAGAAGTACATCCTTATGTTGAATTTTTTGTTCTCCCTTTCCTTGAGTTCTTTTATCATGAGATGTTGAAGCACTCTGCTTTTGCTCTCTTTTACCACCAAAGCCAATGTCACCAAAGCCAATGTCACTCTTGTCACAAATCATTTGTTGAGACCCAATGATGTCCTCCAAAGTCTTTGGATGTTTTGGGTTAGAAGGTGATAATGTAATTCATTAATTTTTTTTGGCTTTACTAAAGCCGTTTTCATGTAAAATTTTATTTTTTTTCTTTTGTCTTTGTTTTGGATTAGAAGGTGTTATTCAGAAATTTATTTTAGCTTTACTAAAGCCGTTTTCATTTAAATATATATATTTTTTTCTTTTGTCTTTGTTTTGGGTTAGAAAATGTGATATTGTAATTCAGAAAATCAGTTTAGTAAAATTGTTTTCTAGCCATTTTCATTAAAAAAAATTTTTTCTTTCATCTTTGTTTTGGGTTAGAAGGTGATATACATGCTCTACAGTCCAAAGCACACCTACACACTGTGCAGTTGGACGAACAACGGCGAAGGGTGAGACGCGAAGAGCACCGCGGAGTAGGCCAAGAAGACGAAGGCCACCGCGAGAGCTGCAGCAACAAGGAATAAGAGAAAGACCTCAAATTTCGGTGATATATTTTTTACATACGAATGGTACTTTTTCCGTTTTTTGCTATGTAATGTAACCTGTATGTAATTTGAATTCTGATTACGAACAGTAACTTATGTAATGTAAATATTGGGTTGGAGTTGATGTTATTGTGATTTAATTGGTTTCGCTTATTTCATAAGACTGATGTTGTGCAGTGAATGAATGAATGTAAAGGTTATTTGTTTTATTCAATTGGTAGTGTATTTTTTGTAAGAATGAGAACGTTATTTGTTATATTCAATGAATAATGGTTACATTTTTGGGTTGTCACGATTGAGAAGATGAACAAGTTAAGAGAATGTGTATTTCTCCTAAGTTAAATTTTGTCAACATTTTTGTAATAAAACTTAATACATAATATACGAGGTCACTAATTTACTAAATACTCATACAGGCATGAAAACAACATAACTGAAGTTGCAAATGAAACAGTTTTCAGTTACATAAGTAGTACAGACATAAGTCTCCCACAAAAATACATTCTGGACACTATGAACTAAACACACAATACATACATCTTGGACACCCTGAACTGAACACATAACAATTAGACAGACAAATATTAAGCAGACAATCTGACAAACTCATTATGGAAACACTTAGTCTAACACAGACATTACATATTAATGCATGACCTAATATTGCCGAAGTGTAGACATTAACACCTAATTCGCGTTTAAATTGACAATCAACAGTGAAAGTGTGATTGTGAATCACGTTTTCTTAACAAAACAAATATGCACAGTGAAAGTGTGATTGTGAATCATGTTTTCTTCAGAAAAGAAAATGCACAGTGAAAGCGTGGTTTAGAACCACGTTTTCTACTTTTCAAAAATTTTTAAACAATATGCACAGTGAAAGCGTGATTTGGAACCACATTTTCTTTAGAAAAGAAATTTATATTAAAAGAGTGGTTTGTAATAGCGCTTTCACTATTTACCAAATTTTCTGCTCTAAACAGTGAAAGCGTGATTTGTAATAGCGCTTTAGCCTAGTTTGGGAATTCCGTCCAAACTAGGCCTAATTTGAGAATTAAGATAGTAAATTGGCTTAATATGAGAAAAGCCTCTCGAAGCTGTCTCCGGCACAATCTCATCTCCCTCCCTCTCTCTCTTCCTCTCTCTCTCTCTCTCATTCCTTGCTTCCTTTCTTTACTGTGCTCCTCTTTGTTACTGTGCTCACCACAGTTAGCAGTAATGTTAGCAATAACACTGGCTAACCAATACAAAACTATTCATCATTTTTGTTTCTATTTTTTTGAAAATAATTTTCAAAAAATTTTATCTTCTTATTTTTCATATATTTTTAATTTTTATTGATTTTTTTAATATTTTAAGCATTTTTCTTAATTTTTAGACACACCTAACATAAATATATTTAAAAAATAATTTTCATAAAAAAATCTTTAAAAAATTAATAAATACACAAAAATACAAAAGAATACACTGAAAAAATTAAAATTTTAAAAATATTTACTAAAACCAAAAAAATTAATTTTCAAAAAACTAAATTCAAAAAAATATAACCAAATTGAAACTGTATCAAATAACTTATGACACTAGCAATATGCTTTAAGGTGGTTATCTTTTTTAACAATGATACATCCTTCTAAATTAATGAGCTCTAATAAGTTCTAATGATATGGAAAGTCAAAAAAAAAAAAAAAAAACGCAAGACACAAACATCACTATCACAGTGGGACCCACACTCCATTAGAGTTATTAGAACTCCTTTATTAGAGTTCCAAAACATTTTTATTCAAATAGAGGATGAAATGCTATAATATGACGGAAATCCTATGGTATGTATCCTATTATAAAAATATATAATTTAATTATAAAATTTTGTATAATAAATTATAAAATATATAATTTCGTCATAAATTAGCGTAATAAAATGTTCAAAATTTTGTGGTTAATATTGGAAAAGTTTATAATTTAGTTACAACATTTTTTTGTTATGTCAATTTATATCAATATTACATATTTTGTGATTGATATTATGAAATTTTGTAATAAAGTTATATATTTTGTAATAGGATAGATATGATATGCACTCTTAAAAGCGGTGCACATCATAACATTTTCATAATGCCAATATGAAAAAAGACCTAGAACTATTCCATTGTTTTTCCTGCAAGCTTCGTTGACGAGTTTAACAATTTTGGTTGCAGTGAGATCATATTATGCTTGTTTTCGATCCATTTGATTTCAATAAATGGTTACCCAATAAAGCATATGATGATGCTTTCACACACAGGAATGATGCTAATACTAACAAATTATAACATGATGAACTACCTCAACTTAATTACCTAGATATGGAAACGGTGATTCCTATGACAGAGGCTAAATAAACAACAACAACAAAAAAAAAAAACCGCATTTTGTCAATATTCATTTTTTTTGAAATAAATATAATTATTAAATCAAATTAATTTTTTTTATGAATAATATGCACGGATAATCTTATAAAGTGAATAATTCATATCATTGTAAACTTAAGAGAAATTTAATTCAATTTACTTCTCCCAAATGAGTCTTGATTGGTTTAGTTTTCAAAATAAGTTTTTAAAAAAATTTTAAAACCAAGTTTGTAAATAAATAAATAAATAAAAAGTTGTTTTCATATAAGGTCTTTTTTTAAGAATAAAAATAATTTAAAATATTTTTTCAATGTTTCATATACTAAAAATCTTAATAAAAATATAATTAATTAAATGTGATTAGTTATTAAAAAAAATAATTTTGATATCAAATGATATCTAGTTTGGGCATATATTTTTTTGGTAAGACCAATGCAATAACCTATATCATTGAAGATACTCTAATATAAGACAAATGTATTATAAATTAATATAATTTTATTATATTAATTATAAAATATGTATTCTTATTATAAATTGATATAATAAAAATATCGTAATTAAATTATAAAATTTTGTTATATGTATCACAAAAGTTTAAATATTTTGACAATATTATACATTTTGAAATAAAAAATATTAAAAATTTTAAAAATTCTATCAAATATTTTATATGGATATAAAACTCACATAAAATTTATAGGAAAATGTTTGGTGACCACAAATTCTGTGGCTCAAGTGGCCTAAAAATGCCAAAACAACGTCGTTTTGGTATTTTTAGAGTTATTTTGTACCCAAAACGATGTCGTTTTGATATTTTTAGATCATTTAAGCCACAAATCATTGCCGAAATTTATATTATGTAATTCCGTCATTGCTAAAAATTTTGATAGATTTTTTTTTTTTTTTTTTTGATATCTATGACATTACTTTATTACAATTGATGTAACGAAATTTTATGATAAAATTACATGATTTCCCCCTCCCTCTCTCTCTCGGTGGGCACACTCCGTCACTTCCTTTCGCCACACCCCTTTCTCTCTCCGGTAGCATCTCCACCACCTGTAACCCGACAAAACTCAGCTGCATACGGAAGCAGATGTCAATCTACGCTCTCCCTTTGGGAATCGTTTCGCTGCCCTAACCATCCACAGGCCAGAGAGAGGCGCAATGAAAATTGGAGCCGTGAGTCACTCTTATCTTATTTACTTACTCTTGTTACTCCTCTGTCTCCTGCTCTTGTGTTCTTATTCATGTTCTTGCATCAATGCCTTTTGCATTTCGTAGATTTTTTGTTTGTAAATTTTTAGTGAAAAGAAAACCCATGTGGTAGTTTTTAAAAATTTTGCAGTGATTTGGGACGCAATGAACAATTTGACAATATTTTCATGTAATGTGGAAAAATCATGACTTGTTGTGTGTGCCTATTAATGAATGCAATTCCCATAACAACATTTGCAAGTTTGAACAAACAAATTAGGATCACTTGTCAAACTTTTTTTTTTTTTTTTAAAAAAAGAAAAATTTCACGTATCCTTTTTATTAGTATGAGGGGTTCAAATTTGTTCATACATCACTAACGCTGTGTTTGGTTAGGAGATTTGGAAAGGGATTTGCAAAGGAAAAGGGTAAATATGTGTGAACTTAGGTGAAATGTAAATTTTCTTCACATTTCACCTACCTTTTCCCTTTCTTTTTCTAAATTCTTTCCCAAATCTTCCAACCAAACATAGCGTAAAAGCATTCAGCTTTGTTCATTGAACTTCACCAGAATCAGTCAATTTGCCCGGTTCTTTGGTTAGTACATGGCATGACACAATTCTTCAATTTCTCTATAGTTCTTTTTATTTTTATTTTTATTTTTTCTTTTGTTGGGGGGTTGATTTTATATGAGGAGCCCCTGCCTTGGAAAGGATCAGAAAATACAAATCATTAGCTGGTACCTAACATGTTCATATGTCTAAATGCTATGGAGTCAAATAAAAATATATCCAAGAATACATGTGTGAAACCTATTTTCACCCCCCACAGTTCCTTTTGAATTTGAATTGAGTAGCAAGTTGCATAAAAATTGCTACTCTTATTTTCAACTTTACCCATTAGATTAGACTAAGTTAGCCCCAAAAGGTGCACACCATATCCACCTGGACTTCCTGCTGTTGGATCCAAACACCACCTAGCCTCATAATTATGCATGCCCCCAATTTGTTTGACCGTGGGCTGACCTTACTTTGATTTGTCCACCACTTCAAATCATAACGAAGACTACTTTTATTTATAACCAAGATTACTTTGGATCATAACAAGAATATAAGGTACACACTTTAATGGGTGTGTACTGTATAATTGGTCATTAGACTAGTGTACAACAAAGCTCTTACATGCAGAGGTGGATGCAGGATTTATGCTTAGGAGGGGGACTAAATTACATGCATTTAAAATTGACAACTAAATTTTATTAAAAGAGTATTATATAAATACTTTTTCACATTGTAAAAACAAAGCAACAAATCAAAAGAGGAAAACTTTCCATTAATATTTTCATTAAACACAAAATTATTTTTCAAAGAGAAAATCTTTGGAAAAAATCATCCCTAAAGATTTACATCGAAAGATGAAAATTGTATTCTTTGCATCATCTTGATGCTTTCTCAATAAATTTGCTTATTTATCAAAAAAGAAAAAAAGGGTTGAAAACTGTTTATTGATCCCTAGCATTGTTGATTAATTTTTCCTGCCAAAGTTTGTCTCCTTGTATTGTTATAAAAAGAATGTTTTGCCTTATTTTCTCATTTAACTTGACTATTTAGTAGATGGTAGTATAAGAATAATATTGCTCACATTATCTCATCATATTTTATTTATCATATGATATATCATTATTTTTTCTTTTTCCTTTTTTTCTTTTTTTGGATTGACAATATATCACTACTATATTAATAACGAACACCACATTTGATTTATCATGTGATATATCACCACTATATTAATAACATAAATTGTGGGATCCAATTAATGCAAACGTGACACATCACATAATGAACAAAATATGATTATTATAGTATTATTAATAATACAATTGTAATGTAATTGTAGTAAAAAATATTTAATATAAAATAATTAGAAAAACTGTTGCTAAAGGATTTTTCCAACAATTTACAAACAATTGATAAAAAAGTAGTAGAAGCTAGTGATAATTTTTGGAGTTAACTTCAAGTTTGTAGGGGCCCCTGCCCCTGCTAGTCCCCTATTGTGTCTGCCTCTGCTTACATGACTTGCGTAGTAGAGGCAAATTACGATTTTTCAGTCAAACAATTGAAAGAACCACTAGGAAGAAAACCAATCTAGATAAAAGTAAATAAATAGATAAATAAAAATTATCTAAATATTACTTGTGATTGTGACGACTTAAATCTACTCAAATCTTGTTTTGGGGGCTAAATGTCATCATTTTTTCTTTACGGGGTTGTTTGTTTAGGAAATGAAGTATTGGGGGGCAATAATGTGATAACTCGGTCATCCTAATTGTAAAGACATAAAATAAGTTTTACTTGATGATGAAGAAACCCAACAAAGAAGATGATCTAAACCACCTTATGATCGCCATCTACAAAACATTGTTAGTGCCGTAGCCGCTAGATGGTCGAGAACACTACGATACCCAAGTCAGTCCTCTAATATTATGAAAATTTAGGACAAATTATTTAGATAATTTAGCGTATCTTAACTGATAGTGGTGTAGGTCTATTTATAATAATCTGGTGTCTTGCCTAGCAAGTAGCATGATTGATCTAGAAGTTCTACATCACACAATCTCTAATTGTTTGGGACTTCTATAACGATAAGATCTTGTCTCATGATGAGTTTTACTCCACGTACAATACTGTTGTAGTGTTTGACTAGGATTTGATCACTGCCTTGCACGTGTTAATCTCAAACTGTGCCATGTGGCTATGTAGGGGCCCATATAATTCTATGGTGATTTTTATCCCCTTCAATTACTCCCAAGCTTTCATTCTCTTTGAGCCCAGTGAGAATGAGTGGAAGGTTTCTATTATTGCTATGATAAAAATAGTCGTGTATTGTTGCCTAGTTAAAATGATATATGGGTGCTAGGCCACATGCTCTCCAGTTTTCTTGACTAAGATAATCGTGAAGGGTTATTTTCATTCAATGAAAGGATGCCCATTGTCATGCTTAGACACGTTCGCAAGGTATGAGTACTTTCTCGAGGTTGTATACGAGCATCTACTAATCACAGTGTGCCTAGCAAATGCTAGGTCTTAGAGAATGCCTACCGAATGCTAGGGCTTATTTCGAGAATGCCTAGCATTGTTAGGTTCTTATTCCGAAGTGTGCCTAGCCAGGCTAGGACTTCTCAGTGAGCAAAAACCTCAAATGTACATTTTTCCAAGGACAACACCTTAGAAAATTTCCAAGTGTTTCCATAATCCATCAAGCATCAACGCTCAGCTATAGAGCAGCTTTCTAGAGGAAACACTCAATTTAGAGGAAACATTCAAGTGTTTGCCCCCATTTTGTCAAGCATCACAACTTGGAGGAGAGAATTACCGAGGGACATAACTCATGTGATTGCCCTCGTGATCCACCAAGTGCCATTGCTCGGATAAGGAAATGCCAAGGGAAAGCTATTTAACTTGCTCCCGTGATCGGCCAAGCACTACAACTCGGCTAAGGAATTGCCAAGGGAAAGCAGTTTAGCTTGCCTCCGTGATCCACTGAGTGCCACAGCTCAGCTATAGAATAATAACGACAAATCTTGTAGTTGGAACTTTCTAAGAAAGGGACATATGAAGACAGTCTACAAAATATAATGAAATGAGAACTAACATGTGTAATATATTGCTAATGGATGGGAGAGATATGGTCATTAATTCAACTATTTAAGGGTATTTTTTTAAAAGTTATTGGTTTATAATTAGAAGAATGTAGTTTGACACATAATAGTTCTTACAACCTTAGAAAAGTTGAAATCCTTTTAAGAGTGCTCTTATAATCAGATCTAATATATGCTATATAATTTAGGGTTAATTACACTAAGACCTTCAACTATTAGCAAATATCACTTTACACCTCTCATCTATGTACTCGTGCATTTTGACGCCTCAACTATAAAAATGTATTACTTTCGTCCCCTCTAGACCACCTTCAAAAGGGGTGTATTTGCACGATTTTCATAATTGAATGGGTCAATATGTATGGGTTCATTGATGAGGGGGTCAAAGTGATATTTACTAATAGTTGAGGGTGTCTTGGTAATGACACAGAACATAAGAAGCTCAAGGAAAAGTAAACTCAAAGAAGTGGCGATATTTGAAAATTGGCATGATTTCAAATAGAAACTTATAGGAACCATTCATAATAATGTTTCTAGTATTATTGTAGTCTTATTTTATAATTATATTTATATTTTTTACGATTTTAAGCTTAGGGGTATTTTGGTAATTTGCAGAAGTTCTAAATATGGGTTTTATGGGTCGCCCATGGGTTATCTTATGGGTCAAGTTATTTAATTAGTTTTTATTTACGTTTCTTATTTGGTCTTAAATTAGTTTTGAAAGTCTAAGATATTATAATAGGAATAATATTAGGGATCATGAAAAAAATATCATCAAATGTATCATGAAGATATCTCATCCTTTGATTAGAGTGTGTTGTTTTATTGTATGTGTAATCTAAAGGTCAAAAATCTTTTATGATCATCTTCATGATATTTTTTTCATGATCCCTAGCATTACTCATATAATAGTTTCTTTTTTTGGTTCGTTTTGGTTTAGGAAGTCTCTAAAATTTGTATGAAGTCATGTAATACTTCTAATTTAAGGGAATTGATATTTTATAAAAATTTGAGAGTTTTGAAGCTTCTTTATGGATTGTGTGATGCAATCAAACCGTAAATGTGATGCCTATGGAATCTAGATGTGATGCCTAGATCTATCTTCTTCTTTTCTTTCTTTTTCTTTTTTGTTTCAATCTACTATTCTCGGATTACTATTCATAGATCTCTAAAACTGTACTTTTCAACCTCAAAACCCTATCCATTCATCCCCAAAGCAACCCTAATCCCTTCCCCTACCTATTAGCCTTTAATTTCACCCTTAAAACCCTAAAGTACACTGTTTAGGCCGTCAAATAGCCTCTGTTTTGCAATTCCATTACTTGTC